TAATTAGACCTGCTTTCTAACTTAGCTAAACTTTTTCCAGCCCAGTGAAGCACCCAAACTTCTCTTTCAGATAACTGTCATCAACACAGCAGTAAATATCAACACGAAGCAGATTATTATTGTACATCACACAGGGAGAACAAAGGGTAAAATATTTAACTGCAGCAGTGTTTGACTATATTCTGCTAGTGAGAAAACCTGAAGTCATTTTCATGGTCCACCATTTCTTACTTCTTTTCAATTGGGTCAAGTTTCTAAGCTTTCTAAATCTCCGTTTTCCAGCTAATGAAAAGAAAATAAGATTCCACCAAGTCTCCTCTCTACCTACTCCAGGACTTCTGTGAGTATCAAATGAGATGAGGCACATGAAAACGCTTCACAGACATTTGGTTACAGAGTAAAATGCTTCCACTATAAAGCAAGTCATGTTCCTGGCTGAAGAAACTCCAAGGAGGCTAGTTAGTTGCTAGGGAGAGGAAGCCGGGCGTTGCTACATGACGTCATTACCCAGACTGTTGGACACTTAGCATATTAGCCTTTTATATGTACAGATAGTACTGAGGTCCTAGCCACAGCAATCCAAAAAGATAAAGAAATAAAAGCTCTAGCTGGTTTGGCTCAGTGGATACAGCATCGGCCTAAATGATCCCAGGTTCGATTCAGGTCAAGGGTGCATGTCTGTGTTGCAGTATCGATCCCCAGTTGGGGGCATGCAGGAGGCAGCCGATCGATGGTTCTCTTTCATCATTAATGTTTCTGTCTCTCCCTTTCCCTTCCTTTCTGAAATCAATGAAAATATATTAAAAAAAAGAAAAGAGCCCTGACCGGTTTGGCTCGGTGGATAGAGTTTCGGCCTGTGGACTGAAGGGTCCCGGGTTCGATTCTAGTCAAGGGCATGTACCTTGGTTGTGGGCATATCTCCAGTGGGGAGTGTGCAGGAGGCAGCTGATCGATGTTTCTCTCTCATCGATGTTTCTAACTATCCCTCTCCCTTCCTCTCTGTAAAAAATTAATAAAATATATTTAAAGAAAAAAGAAAAGAAATAGAAGGCATCCAAATTAGGAAGGAAGAAGTAAAACTGTCACGATTTGCAGATGACATGGTACTATATATAGAAAACCTAAAGATTCCACAAAAAAGTTAATCTATATATAAAAGCTTAAGCAACCATTATGACCAAATGACCAGAACAACTGGTTGACCAGTTGCTATGATGTGCACTGACCACCAGGGAGCATACGCTCAATGCAGGAGCTGCTCCCTGGTGGTCAGTGCGCTCCCACAGCCAACCTCCCACAGCATCTCCTCCCCGGCCAGCCAACCTCACACGGTCCCTCACTGTGGCCAGCCCGGCCCGGATGGGCCGCAATCGCTGGCCAGACCTATGGACCCCACCCATGCACAAATTCATGCACTGGGCCTCTAGTAAAATTAATAAAAGAATTCAATAAAGTAGCAGGATATAAAGTTCATATACAGATATCCATCACTTTCCTATACAATCAGACAAAAAAATTAAGCAACCAATCCCATTTACAACTGCATCAAAAATAAATAAATAAATAAAATGCCTAGGGATAAATACCAAGGAGGTGAAAGACCTGTACTCTGAAAACTATAAGACATTGAAGAAAGAAATTGAAGACATACTCATGGATAGGAAGGATTAATATTGTTAAAATGACCACGCAGATTCAATGCAATTCCTATCAAAATACCAATGACATTCTTTTCAGAACTAGAATCCTAAAATTTATATGGAATCACAAAAGACTATGAATAGCCAACCATGAATGAGGAAGAAGAACAAAGTTGGAGGTATCACACTCCTTGATTTCAAACTATACTACAAAACTATAATAATCATAACAGTGCTGTGGTATTGGCACAAAAGCAGACACACAGATCAATGGAACGGAAGAGAGAGACTACAAAAAACCTTTGCTCACATGGTCAGGACACATACAAACATCAACCAGTGAATGCATAAATAAGTGGAACAACAAATCTCTCTTTCGCCCATCCTTTCCCTCTCTCTCAAATCAATCAATAAAAATGTTTTAAAAAAGAATTCATTTTAAAGAAAACTCTATGCAAAGACCACCAGTTTGGGGTGAAGCCCAGAGGCCTGTGGGCCTCCAGCCCCTCACTATACATCCCAAGGAAGCTCTGCCCCGGGTGTAAGAGCATCACCTCGCTGTGCATAAACTTGACAAAGCCGCGTGGGCCTGTGAACACACAGGTCTCTGGGTCCTACTTTAGAGTGGTGTGTTCCAAAGAAAAAACACGGCTTGAGAAGGTTGGCCTTAATAATCCAACACGGTTCCTGCTCAGCCTCCTGCCCAATCCTCAGACACAGCCAGCTGCTGCCATCCAGAGCATTCTGGACACCCTGACACATGCACAGTTCCTGTTGTACTGCCAGCCCGACACACTTGGGTTCCTCCTCCAGGACCAACATGAGGGCCTGCTGCCTGGATCTCTGGCCCATCAAGCAAGCTCAGACCCTTTCCCTTGCCTACCTCATACCCAGAACCCAGTCCAGTGGTCAGAACCCACACTGCCTTGGAGGGAGGTGGCAGGATGTGGCCCGTGCCATTGCAGAGCAGCAGGGATGGGCTTAGGGGGCAGTCCTTCAGCACTGCTCTAGAAGCTCTATTACCACCCCCACTTCACAAATGAGAACACTGAGACACAGAGGATAACTGTAGGAGGCCCGAGGGAGACTAGAACAAATGACCACACACGGAAGCTAAAAACAACAGGTATCTATCCTCTGCAGGTCTGGAGGCCAGAAGCCCAAGATCAAGATGTTACAGGGCCATGCTCCATCTGGAGCTCCAAAGAGGGTCCTTTCTTCCCCTTCCAGCTTCTGGTGCATCAAGCATCCCTGGGCTTGTGGCCACATCACCCCATCTCTGCCTCTGTTGTCACATGGCCATCTCCCTGTGTGTGTCTCAAATCTCCCCTTCTTTTTTCTATAAGGACCCCATTGGATTCAGGGCCCACCTCATCCAGATCATCTCATCTAGAGATCATCAAGTGAGGATATCTGCAGAGACCCTATTTCCACATAAGGCCACAGTGATCTGAAGTCCCATATGGGTGTGAATTACAGGGGTACAGGACATTAACAACTTGCCCAAGGTCACTGTGAATACCCTGGGCAGGGAGCTTGGGGCATTTATATCTAGCACTGGGTGTCACCTGTTGTCTCTTCTGTTTGGAAGGCAGGTGCTCTCCTTTCTGAGAGCCTGAAGCATGTTTTCCCACAGCCATGCCCTGCTCCAGGTAGCCTGGGAGGTGAGCCCCTGACCTTCCTGTCTTGTCAGTGGGACATCGGGACTGGAGGAGGTGGGTCTGTTGAGGGGGCTGTGTAAGAGGCAAGAGTGAGATCTGACCTTGTCCATACTCTGATCCCTCCACAGCCAGCCTTGAAGGGTGTGACCATCCTGATGTGGGCATGGGCCAACCTGCCACACAGCCCCCTCAACAGACCCACCTCCTCCAGTCCCGATGTCCCACTGACAAGACAGGAAGGTCAGGGGCTCACCTCCCAGGCTACCTGGAGCAGGGCATGGCTGTGGGAAAACATGCTTCAGGCTCTCAGAAAGGAGAGCCCCTGCCTTCCAAACAGAAGAGACAACAGGTGACACCCAGTGCTAGATATAAATGCCCCAAGCTCCCTGCCCAGGGTACTCACAGTCTCTCCAAGCTAGCCCGCCAAACACATTAATCCATGTGCACACTGCTGTGAGCGATTCTGCAGAAAGAATTTAGGTCCCAGGTCAGCTGGCTCTTAGTTCATCAAAAGGGAGATGACCCTAGGTGGGCCTGAATTAATCAGGGGAGCCCTGAAGGGGAAGAGCTCTTTCTGGCCGAAGATTGGACTCAGGGGGATTCTCCACAGCTGGCCTGAAGAGGGAGGGACCATATGGCCAAGGACCAAAAGCGGCCTCCATCTGCCAGCCAGCCAGGAAACAGCCTCACACTCAGACCCGCAAGGGATGGAATTCACCAACAACTTAGATGAGCTTGGAAGAGGACTCCCAGAGGACTCAACCAATGGCATGTGGATTCCGGCCTCTGAGACCCTGAGCTGAAAATCCAGCCACACCATGCTCGGACGTCCTACCTACAGAACTGTGATCCAATCAATAGGCATTGTTTTAAGCCACTGAGTTTGTAATCATTTGTTACACAGCAGTTTTTGTTTTTGTTTAAAAACATCCCTTGCAAATTCTTCCCATCTTGAATGTGCTGGCTATAGCTGTGAAAGCCATCTTGTGACCATGGGCATTAGAATGAAAACGGTTAAACGCTCAGGATGGCAAAGAATTAGAGACAGACAGAGCCTGAGTCCCTGCGATGTCCCTGTGAGAGACTATTGGATGTGGTCCTCAGGGAGCCACTGCTCTACTTCTCCCCCTTTGGAATCAAGTTGGCCTTATACTTGGCTTTGCACAACAGGACACAAGGGGGTAACATTCTGGGATGGCTGAAAATAGATATTAGCAAGCCCTATAGTATCCACCATTCTCTGAGGGAACCCAGACACTGTGTGAAGGAGGCCAGGCTGGCCACATGGAGAAAAAGGCCTGTGAGTGAGATACCACCAGAAGAGAACGGGGTCTCAGAAAGAGAAGTGAGCCCAGCCAACGTCACAGAAAAGAGAGACCTGTCAGCCCCACCAGACCCACCCTTAGGAGCCATCCTAATTGGTATATCAGAGGCATGAATAAGGTCAGGCTGGCTCCTTCTGTCCCCACCAAACCACATGAGCAGAGATGAGCCACCCCCACTGAGCCCTGACCCACAGAATCGGACAGTAACAACTGTTCTTCCAGGCCTCTTGGCTTGGGGGATATCTGTTACTCAACACCAAATAACTGGCTGAACAGGCCCTGATGAGGCTGCTGACTGCTGCCCCTGCACACACACTGAAACACATCTCCAGGCCTGTTCCCAGAGTGCTCAAACTTTTGCTTCGTCAACTGACCTGTGACATCCAGATGGAAGGTGACCCTCTGGCCCCCGGCCTCGCAGCTGTACTCCCCGCTGTCCCCCTTCACCGCCTGCTGCAGCACCAGCCGCCGGGTGCAGCCCGTGGCCTCCATGCGCACTTTCGAGCTCCCGCTCAGCTTCTTGCCATCCTTGTACCACGTCACCTGCGTCTGAGCCTGGGCCACCTCGCAGCTCAGCGTGGCACTGGCCCCGGCCGTGGCCTTCACCTCGCTGTGTGCCGACTGCTCCTTGGCAAACACCTCCGTGGGCTCTGGGGACAGGGAGGGACGCACAGGGTCAAAGATATTTTCTCAACCAGGAGGACAGCACTGGGGACAGAAGGACTCAGCTGGGAGGTGGCAGGACGGGAAAATTCTCAAGGCTCTGTGTGACCCGCAGAAGCCCCAGCACCTTCTCAGCACAAGTAGCTCATTCATCTGCACATGGACCACTGCCCAGGGAGCGGTCCCTGCTGGAGACACCGTGAAGGACTTCTCCGGAGCACACACACACCCTCGAGCACAGGGACTGCAGACCATGAGGTGTGCACACACCCTCCCCAGGACACCAAGTCTTTCCCGGTTGTGCAGGGAGCATTCCCACCCAGCGAGGGACAGTTCCTGGGCTCCACCTCCCACCCGCACTCCCTGTGTCACCTGCTGGCCACCTAGGGCACTGAGCTGTGCCTCCTGAGCCTGTCTCTCCCATGGTTTGGATGACTCACAAAGTGGTGGACCTTTGCTATGCTTTCGGTCTTTACTGTTTGCTCTTCTGCGGTGTGTCTGTTCATGGGCATTTTGGACACCATAATATTTCTCCCCACTCCCACCAAGTCCAATAATTTATCTTTTGCGTTAGGCATATTATCGGAATTCCACTTCCGTTTTTTCACACTTTTGCATGTTTCACTTTATTTCCTGCTTTCCTGCTGACAAAAGCGGTGACTGTGAGCCCCGTTGCCTGGTCCCTGATCTCACAGGCACAGCTTTCAAGTGTCACTTAGTGTGGTTAGCTGGATTTCCTTCAGTGTCATTTATCAGAAGAAGGATGAACCGTTTTATTTCTAATTGGTTCAGAATCTGCGGCATGGAGAGATGTTGATAAACTGTTTCTTCCACATTTCTGACATTAAATGTTATCAAACTCAACTCTGCATTGATGAGGCGATCGCTTCATACTTTAGTTTCAATCTGCTCACGTCATGATTTATGTTGATTTGCTGACCTTTGTAGTGCTCACACACCCGGGCCGTGTCTTTCACTATAGTGCATAGTCCTCTTAATACACTGCCGATTCATTTTGATTCTACTAAACTTCAGATTTTGGGCTTGGGCTCCACAATGCATTGGCCCATACTTTGAATTCTCCCTATCAGATGGTGGTGATAGATGTCATTCTGGTGCCACGTAATAAGCCAGGGACTGTATTTCCTTCTCTAGCTCTAGAAGGATCTCCATGAACAAGCAATAATTTCCTTACAGGATAGTTCACACAAATTCCCAGTGGGGCCACTGGGGTGTCATCTTCACCTATAAGAACTTTTATTTGTGGTTCCATTTATTGAAACAGTTGTAGGAGTATTTGAGATGTCAAATCTTATGCCACTTTTCATGAAGTTTTCTAATAATTTGGTCAATTTCTCAAAACTTTTCACATTTACTCCTACAAAATAATTTGTAATATTCTCCTAAAGTAACAATTAAAAATGTTTGCTGGATTCTTTTTGTATCGATACACACTCACGAGCTATTATGGTACACAGATATAACACCAAACTGTTATATAGAGGCACCTGGAAGTCGATTTGAGGTTAAAACTCTCCTAGCAAAATGAAAATACAGTTAGTTCACAGACATCTCTGTGAATACACAGGACAGGGACAAATACACATGTGTCCTTAGGAAATACTATGACATAAATACTGACTCAGCAGTCAAGGGCTATCGCTATAGTTACTTGTCTTCAACAAGGCGTGCAGTGTGGGAGAAGCTCCTTATTCCTCTCCATGTCAAAATCTATACATGAGATTCCCAGGGTATTATGACACAGGACTCAAAAAGAAACGGAGCCGAAACCGGTTTGGCTCAGTGGATAGAGCGTCGGCCTGCGGACTGAAAGGTCCCGGGTTCGATTCCGGTCAAGGGCATGTACCTGGGTTGTGGGCACTTCCCCAGTGGGGGATGTGCAGGAGGCAGCTGATTGATGTTTCTCTCTCATCCATGTTTCTAACTCTCTATCTCTCTCTCTTCCTCTCTGTAAAAAATCAATAAAATATATTTAAAAAAAAAAAAAAGAAACCGAGATGTACTTTAGGAAGAGAATTTCAGACCTCAAAGGTACAGGTCCCCGCCACACATGCAGATCTTGTGCTCTCTTTTTAATTTTTGCACAGACCTTGCAAGAAAACATGGATCTAGAGTTGGGGACAATGAGGATTCAGTAACTTCTACATCCACATGCAAAGGAGTGCCCAAAGAAACTACAATTTGCTAACACCCTGTTCAGTCTGAGATGGATCCAAGTAAGATTGGGGGGCAGGAACTTCCCCACTTTCTGTTGTAATGAAATTCAAACGTGTCTCTGCCCGTGTTGCCGGCCCCGGGCATTTGGGAGCTACCAGGACTTGGGGAGTAGGAAATTCACATAACACAGGTAAGAGAGGTCTGGTCTACCTCAGACTCCACGTGAAAGGTAGAGCCCGAGTCCCGGCTGGAGAGGGGCACCCAGAAGTCTCTGGCAGGGGCTGGGAACTATGACTGAGCAAAACGTGAGCACCACTCAGCTTGTACAGGAACACCTCTCCCTTCTGCTCACACTCTGCCCACCCAGCCTGGTCTGGCCCCACCACTGGGATGATATGGGAGATGGAGGATAGAAGGCTAAAGAGGTGAGGTCCAGCGGAAAGAGCCCCAGGTGTGTCCGGCTGGAGGCATTACCTACACACACGGCTAAGTTAGTGCCACCAAAGAACCGACCTGGGACATCTAGGTTGAAGGTGACCTTCTGGCCCCCGGCCTCGCAGCTGTACTCCCCGCTGTCCCCCTTCGCCGCCTGCTGCAGCACCAGCCGCCGGGTGCAGCCCGTGGCCTCCACGCGCACTTTCGAGCTCCCGCTCAGCTTCTTGCCATCCTTGTACCACGTCACCTGCGTCTGAGCCTGGGCCACCTCGCAGCTCAGCGTGGCACTGGCCCCGGCCGTGGCCTTCACCTCGCTGTGTGCCGACTGCTCCTTGGCAAACACCACCGTGGGTTCTGGGGACAGGGAGGGATGCACAGTCAGAGGCCCCACAGAGGTGAGCCCTGAAGCCACAACGAGGCTCAGATGCAGGCAACCACAGGTCCCCATGAGGAACTTTTGGGATCGGGTACTACAGCACAGCCCTCCCAGGCACAGGGGGCCTGACTGGTGCCTCGAACAGAAGGAGGCATGGGGGGCTGGCAGAGCTTCTCCTGGGTGCAAGGAGGGTGCAGCAGGACTCAGAGAATGCACCAAGCGGCCCCAGTGGCTTCTAGAAGTAGCCAGGACCTCACAATCACTGAGATCCGAATCTATCCCACTGAGGATGCTGCCAGCACCTTTTGGGTCCTCTCAGCCTCCTTTGATCTTTAAAAGGAAAACAAGAACTTCACAGTTCCTTCTTATTTTGCATTGTTCATCCATCTCAGTGTTAATTTTGTGGGTAATTTCTTTCCCCAAATCGAAGCAGCTGTCCCACCCCAAGCATTCACATAAGCAATGAAGAGCCTAGCAGCTCTACCTTGCAAGTCCCAGATGTAGCCAGACCTTCTCCCCACCCACCAAGCCCTAGAGTTGCCCACTCACCACAGACACGCAGCTGGAAATCCACCGAGTACTCGCCCACACGGCATGAATAGGTGCCCTCATCTTGCCTGGTGACTGAGTTGGCCACCAGTCGATGCCGTGTGCCCACATCCTCCTGTGAGAAGTGCGAGGAGTGGCCAAGCTCCAAGCCATCCTTGAACCAGCGCACGGGCACATGGGCCTCCGCAGTCTCGCACTCAAAGTGGGCTGGACCCCCGGCCACCGTGTCCACGCAGCCACCCGCCGAGTCTTTGTGCAGAAAGGGTGTGAGTCCTGCGAGGGCAGCTGGGGGTAGGGGGTAGGCCTATGAGCACACAGTAGCAAATGGAGGGTCCCAGGTGGAACTCTGGCTCAGCCCAGCCCAGGGTCCCCTTCATACAGGGTCTGCTGCTGACTTCCAGCCACCCAGTGCCATGGACTGGTAGGACTTCCCCACAGGGTCCCTCCCTCTAGTGAACAAAGCCCTGGCCCCCACTTTTCCATGGGGTAGAGTGAGCACCCTCCCATGCCCCCACTGTCTCCATGGAGTCACCTGAGCCTACCCCTCCCCCACCCATAACAGCGGTAACCTGAGCCACAGTCCCCACAGTCACCTGAAAATGCCCCCTAACTTACCCCGCCATAGAGAACAACAGTTCCCACTGCCCTAAACCCCTAGAGCCTGCCCAGAGTTGGGGTACAGAATGCTGTAGCTATAGCAGTGGCCAGAAGGACGTGGACACATGTGAACACACACACCTTGAACTGACAGGTGGTAGGCGATGCGGCCCCCACGGCTGACACACTCATACAGGCCAGCGTCGTCCCGCGCCACATCCCGCACCAGCAGTGCCCGCTGTCCTGCTGAAGCCTGCACCTTGTACTTGGGGCCTGGGGGCAGTGCTCGGCCGTCCTTGAGCCACGTTACCGCCGTAGCCTGGTCTGACAGCTCTGCCAGGAGCTGTGCCTCCTCGTGTAGTCGGGCCAGCACCTCCCGAACTTCTGTTGGATGCTTGGTGGTCAGCCCTGGGGGCCCCCACAGGTGGAAAGAGAGGGTGTGGAGGTGACAGAGAGTGGAGGAGGAGGGAAAGGAGAGCAGACAGATGGAGACATGAGCCTCTGTGTCATCAGAAGCCCCCAGCCCCTAGTCCACTCAAACCCTGTGGCTGAGGACACCCGCCAAGCTGGGCAAGCTGCTTCACATACCCCCCACCCCATTGGGTCCTGCTTGCACAGGCCACATACCCAGCAATCCACTAGCACACCCCAGGAGCCTTGGGCCTAGGGTCACAGGTCCCACTCCTGCCCCCACCCTTAGAGGAAATAGAACTTAGAGAGTCCCCAGGGGTCATGGGCTGGCGTCCCCCTACCTCGGACCTCCATGCGGATGCTGCTCTCGATGCCATTGGCCACAAACTTGAGCTCAGCACCATGCAGGCTGGCAGGTACTGAGCGGATGGTGAGGACATGCCGTGTGCCCTCGCAGCGGATCACATATGTGTTGCTGGCCTTCAGCGCCTGCCCATCCAGGAACCACTCGCCCACAGAGACCAAAGTGAGGTCCACAGAGAAGGTCACCTCACTGCCCTCCACCGCCTCCACTGCCTTCAGAGGCGTCTTCACAGCCAGCTGGGGTGCTGCAGGGTAGGGACTTCAGGACAAGCAGGGCACCTGGCCTCCCCTCTTCTTCCCCCCCAGAGCCTGGGCACATGTGCCCCCATCTCCAGAAAGCCTGTCAGACAGGCCCATGGCAACCATGAGAGATGGAAGGGTTCAGGACTGAGCAGGGATAAGTTAGAACCACCCAAGATCCCCTCCGGATCCTACACACCAGAGGTGGAGGGTGCAGCTGTGCAGCCTGGTCCCCTGGGGCTGGTGGGCACAGATAGGTTCCTAGAGGCCTCAAGTCCTGTCTCAGAGTCCCTTCCCCTTCCCACAGAGGAGGCTCCAACATCAGGACCCTAGTAACTCCCCCCCGCCCACCCCCTCACCCCACCAATAAAGAGGCTCCATGAATCACTGTGGCCTCACCAAGGCTGGGCTATGCTCTAAGTCTGGGTGATTCAGCAGCAGGCGCCCTGCAGGCCATTACCTGGAAGCCAATGGGAACAGAACCTTCCATACTTACCCAGGTGGACAGTCCCTGGGAACTCAAGGTAGGAGCTCTGGCCAAAGCTGTTTACAGCTGACACACGGAACTGGAAGTCCCCCTCCTCAGCCACACAGTTCACAGTCAGCTCAGGTGTAGCCACCCACTCGGCCTCATGGCATCGGCTCCAGGTGTAGGTGCCCAATCGCTTCTTCTCCACCACGTAGCCATCAATGGTGACAGGGTGGTCCCCATGGGGTGGTGGGGACCAGCTGAGAGTCACGGAACTCTCTGTCTTGGCCTTCACCACAGGGGCCTCAGGGGTGTGTGGTGGTGGCTTCCTGGGGGCTGGGCAGAACACAGGTCCTTGTCACCAACTGGGAGCCCCTCCCTGACCCCAGATCCAGGATCACCCTGGAGGAGAGGGGCACAGAATCTCCAGCCCTCCTAGGGGGCACTGCTCTGATGGTCTGAAATGGCCACAGCCAAGGTGGAAGGCCAGCCTGAGGGGAAGCTGTAAGCCCATGATCCCTGGTCCCAACCTGTGACCATTTCTCTAGTTGCAGCAGCCACATTGGGCCCAGGACCACCATAAGCTTGCCATGTGGTTTGGGGACAGACACCTTCCAGTTCAGTGCATTGGGGTCTTGGCTAGACAGTGGCTGAAGCAGGGCACAGTGACCCTCCTGAGGTGCTGGGGCCCTATGGAGGGGCATCCCCCTGCCCCCGGCCAAGAGTTAGCCCTGTTGGGGAGGGCAGGAGTGGAAGGGAACCACCGCTCAATCTACAATGTAGATACTAAAGGCCACAGAGAGAAGACATATTCACACAGGACACACACACACACACACAACCACACACTGTGCTTCTAGAACAATCTGCACCTCTAATTTGGTTGGTAGGATGAGAGGCTACCAAGTCTCCCATTTTGTCAACGCCTGGGGAGCCCAGAGTGGGGGATGGCTGCAAACATCTGTGGGTCTGAGGGTACCAGAACCACAGCCTGAACGCAATGAGCCCCACACCCTTCCTGCAGCTACTGAGCACATGTGTGCCAGCCCTGGGTCCAGAGCACGGATGGTGACAAGGGGCACCTCTTCCATTGGAGAGGTACTCCAGGCCTTTACCTGACACCAAGAACTGAGTGGACGTCCGGCAGTCCCCAGCCACAAAGGCCACCTCACCCACATCCTCCAGGCTGCACTTGGAGATGGTCAGCGTGTGGCATGTGCCTTCAGTGGTGATGGCTACTCGGCCCCCGGCCACCACCTCCTCATGATTCCGAAGCCAGTGGACCGGGCCCTCTGGCCTGGCCAGCTCTACGCAGAACATGGCAGTGTCCCCCACTCGCACCACTGTCTTTCTCGGGAGCTTTCGGGTGAGGTTGCCTAGGATGGCCAGAGCCAGGGGTTAATCAAACCGGACAGCCTGCCCCCCTCCAGTTTCATGGACCCCCCCTGTCGTGTTGCCTGCCCACCTCGTACTGCGAGCTCGGCCACCGTGCGGCTGCCCTCGGCCATCTCACAGATGTACACCGCGTCATCATCAGTGGAAGCATTGTGGACAGTGAGCCGGCGCTCTGTGCCCGCCTCCTCGATGGCATACTTGGCGCTGGCCCACAGCCGTGTCTCTTCCTTGTACCACACGGCCTCCGTGGTCGGCAGCGGCACCTCACACTGAAACGTGGCCGACCCCTTCTCCTGCACCTCCAGGTCCTGCAGCCTCGTCTTGAAGGGCACTGTGGGCTCTGCGGGGAGAGGGCTGATGAGCAGGGCAGGGTGGCTGGGCAGGGAAAGAAAGGGGGTACTTGGCTGGGGGCACCTGGAGTGTGGTGGGTGGCACAGGGCAGGGCAAGTAGGTGCTGAGGTGGGGGCAGAAGTCCCAGCAGGGGTTGGAGGGGCTGCAGGGCAAGGGTGAGTGAGAGAACTGGAGAGGGGCAGGGAGAGGATACAGAAATTAAAGAAAAGAGCCCCTGCCCCCAAATAGAAGCAGTCTGGAAAGAGAAAGAAGAATAAAGGCAGGTGAAGCTACAGCCTTCAGCGCTGGAACAGGTCCTGCCAGAGCCCTAGGCAAGACAGCAGGACCAAGACCCGCTGGCCAAGGCCCGCCATGGCGCCACACGCATCTTCTCCCTGTAGCTTCCTCAGGGACCCTCATGGTGGAGGGGCATTTACTCCACAGAACGAGGAAACTGGGGCATGTGCGGGAAGATCCATGCACCCTGTTCAAATCCTACCGTGGTTGAGATGTGTAATAGGGTGGAGTTGGGACCCCCAGCACTCCAGAGGCTGGTGTTAGGAGGGAAGAATAAAGGGGCCTCTCAACAAAACCTAACGGTGTTGCCCACACCTGCCCAGGCCTGGACGAGAGCCTGCAAACTGCCTCAGAGCCACCTCAGGCTGCATGCAGCCACTGGGCCCAAGCCCTCCAAAGCACAAGGGTTTGTCCCTGCCCCTGCCCTCCTTCCCTCTCTGTCAGGGAGACACACACCCCTTAGCGTCCAGGGGAGAGTGATGCCTGGCTCACCCTCACTCTGCACAGGGCAGGCTCAGCTACCAGGCATTCCCAGCAGCTCCCATGGGGAGGGGGTGCTGGTGACAAAGCACTTTCTTCTTTACTCTTGTGACTCACAAAGACAGGGAACAGGCTGAGGGGACAGGCATTTTGCGGGCTGGTTAAAGACAGAGCTGTCAGGACTTCCAACTCCGAATCCACTACTGGACAGACAGGGAGGAGCCTAGCTTGTGTTCCCGGCAGTGACTTCGGCAGGTGTGTGTGGCAGGCACCCAGCTCACCTCGCACAACGACCAGCACGGAGCTGTAGGTCTGGCCCACGAGGTTGGACGCTGTGCACGTGTAGAGGCCACGGTCCGACTGCTTGCAGAAGAGGATCTTGAGCACAAAGTTTTCCTGCGCGTCCTCGTACACCAGGTGTCGCCGGCCCTCGGCCACCAGCTGCCCATCCTTCTTCCACACGGTCTCGGGCTTGGGCTCGCCCGTCACGTAGCAGCTGAGGCGCGCGTGCTTGCCCTCGGTCACTGTGCAGGTGCGAGTGCCCCCGCCCGGCGGCGAGGCCGGGGCTCCCTCGGCCCGCATGGCCTCGCGCCGCCGCTGCAGGTGCGCCAGGAGGGCGGCGGTGGAGGCGCCGGGCGGGCCTGCCGCGTCCGCGTCCGCGTCCACCGTCAGCGCGGCGGCGGCGCTGGCGGTGCCCAGCGGGTTCTCGGCGCGCACCGTGTAAGTGCCGCCGTCGCGCGGCCGCGCGGCCTGGATGCGCAGCGCGCTCGCCTCGCCGCTGGCCTCCACGCTCACTCGAGGGGCGTCCGGCGCGCCCAGGCGCCTCCCGTCCTTGTCCCAGCTCACGGCCAGGGGCGGCGAGCCGCGGACGCGGCAGCGGAAGGTGGCCTCCGCGCCCTCGCGCACGCGGATGGACGTGGGCCGCAGCAGGAAGTGGGGCGCCTGCTCCGCGCACGCGGCCTCGGCGTTCACCTGCAGGCCCACGGCGGCGAAGGCCTCGCCGATGGCGTTCCGCGCGCGGCACACGTACTGTCCGCTGTCGCCCAGCGCCAGGTCCAGGATAGTGAGGCGGTACTGGTCGTCGTCCTGGGCCAGGCGGAAGCGAGCGCCCGCCTCCACCGGCTGCCGGTCCTTCTCCCAGCTCACCTGCGGCGTGGGGTTGCCCACGATCTGGCAGCTTAGCGTGGCGTCCTTACCCACCGACACTACGAAGGCCTTAGGCCGGGTCAGGAATCGGGGCGCGCCGCTGAATGAGGAATGATCCATGGTGGAAGGAAGGGGTGGGGGGACCTGTGAGGCGGGTGTGAAAAGTCCTAATGAAGACAAGCCCCCGGCACACTCAGAGCCCGCCACCTTGTCCCACCGGGCCACCTCACCCATCAGTGCCACTCAGAGAACCCATGAATCCAGCTAGACACCTGCACGTGCCCCTCCCCCATCCAGGTCCCGTGCCCCGCCCCCACCCCAGACAACATCACCTGAAGGCACGGTGGTTCAGAAGTGCGCATTTGCCCCTTTCTGAGCATTGGGGTCTGGCTCCACCCCCACACAGGTTCTCCTAACCGGCAAGCATCTCCAGCCTCTCCCCCAGCTTCAGTCCCGCTGCCCAACTTCAGGTCCAGCTGAGCACCTACCCCAAACACCAGGCCAGCAGCCAGGCTGCCCCCTCCCTGTGAGGCATCAGGCTTTAGCGCCAGCCTCTCCCTCCACCAGCCCCACGGCACCTGCTTGTGCCCCCCTGAGCCACTCCAACTGCCGGAGGTGTCCTGTCTCCTCCCACAGACTTCTGGCTCCCGGGGTCAGAATCTGCAATCTGCCTGCCTCTCCTCCACTCAGAGGGGGCGGTTCTTTGCTCCCATGGTCGCAGGCTTTCCTCCAGCCCTCAGCCCAGTGTTCCCTTAATCTCCCCTTATTACTGTTCTTCCCCCAAGTGGCTTCCCCCAAGCCTTTGGGCTCCAGCGGGGGCTGTGTGCATGTCAGGCCCCTTGCCCAGTGACGCCCATGACAGGGAGCCCTACGCACAGATCTGTCCCACCTGCAGCAACTCTGGTGCACCTCTCCTGGGGTCCCCTACCCCACACCCCTGGGGGGTTGTGCCCATCAGTGAGCAGAGAAGAAATGAAAACTCTATAGCCAAGCAAGCTCTTCCTAACAAGACAGCACCCTCAGCCCAGCAGGCTGCCTGGCCCCTCACTGTGAGTGCCTATCTCCTCCCTTTGGAGCAAGACTATCTGGGCAGCCCAGTCAGCAGCGTGCCTGCAGAGGACAGCAGAGGATCCCCCAGAAAGAGCCAGGGACCTCTAGGCCAGCTGGCTAGCTGAACCCAACCTGGGGGGCCGCACCCAGCCCTTTCATTCCGCGGCTTCACTGCCTGGTCACCCTGCATAGACAAGGCTGGCACCAGGGGCGCTAAATGTCTTAGGTGACTCTGGCCTCCACCCACCCGGGGTAGCCCCCACTGGTCCCAGAACAGGTGGGTGAGGGGGCTTCTGTAAGAACAGGGAGCACAGTGGGCCTCACTGGGCCCCAGGCTGTCACCAAGTGCTTTAACTCCCTCCATCCTAGGAGCTGGACCTCCAACTCCAGGCATGGGCTGCCCACCACCAGAGGATAGGCGGATGTTTCTGGGTCCTCTGCTGCTGGTCCTGTGACTCAGCACTTAATCCCCCTTAATCTCCCTCAAGGAGGCTGAGCCCAGAGCAGCCTGCTGACTCACTGTGCAGTCAGCACCTCTGTCCCCCACCCCACCAGCTGCCCCCACAAGGCCGGGCAGGGAGGGCCTGGGAAGACCTGGGAGGGCAGCCACCAATGCCCCGCCCATGGATGCCCCCCAGGGCTTTGGCATCCCTCTTTGGAAGGGTTACTTTGACACCAGGACTCCTGGGACCCTGAGCTCTGAGCTATTCCTAATAGCACCCCAAATCAGATAGTCATTGTGTGGGTTCCCCAAGGCAGGACATGGAACCTCCCACACACACCCCCACATACCCAGAGCAGGTGCCGGAGAAGCTGCTCCAGCTCAGGAGTTGGGGGGGTTGGAGGGGGCAACTCCACAGCCTGGACCTCTGGTGCCAGAAGGACAGGGAGGGAGCTCCCATCTCTGCTCATGCTTAGGGGGATCCTACCCCAGCCTCAGCAGATGTACAGGCTGTCCCTTGGCCTGACAAGGGTGGGCAGAGATCCTGAGATCCTCTAAGGCCACTGGGGACCCTACTGATACCCTGTTCCCTGTCCAGAGCCTACACTCCCTACCCCTGATGCAGCAGACCCCATGGGATCTGAGGAGGCTCACCGAGACATGGCAGCCTCAGAGCCCCAAGGCAGCCCTGCCAGGCAGGCATCCCTACCCGTCAGCTGGGCCAGGCGCCCCGAGCACATGCCCAAGGACTCTGAAGCCTCTCTGGTTCGGGAGACCAAGGGAGGGTACCATACAAGGCAACCTCTGAGCACAGGGACATCTGCAGCGGCCTCCTCCTTCCCTTGCCACGTTGGCAGAGACAGACCTCAGGAGGGGACCCAGCCAGAACCTGAGCCCCAGCCTCACAGGAGGCCCCTCCTCCCCCAGATGCCTTATTGGAAGGTGCCTTCCTGTGGATCCCTCAGTGGCCCAGGGCTGAGACCGCCCCCCACCTGGGGTGTTCCCCACCCTCCTCGCCCTAGCCCGGCCACTTGCTTCTCCAGCACTTGGCCACTCTCGGGTGTGGGTTCAGGTGGCCCTGGACCATTTTCCAAATGAGCCAGGGTGGGAGGACCTGACAGCAGGTCCTCCTGACACTCCCCACTCTGCTGCCCCCACACCCTCCAGAAAAGACTTCAAGGGCAGTTCCTGGATCTTCAGCCCCCAGACCCAGGGTCCTATTTCCCGGACACCACGGGGAAATTCTTTCCTGGAGTCAGGTGTCACTACTCCTCTGGCTGTCCCCACCACTGAGCCAACAGGCCCAAAATAGCCCCAGCTGTCAGCGGGCATCCATCTCAGCCAAGCTGGGGGCAGGGCTAGCCAGACCCCAGGCCCGTGGATCAGAATGGGCCACAAGGCCCCAGGCTCGCAGCTTGGCTGCTCCCTCCCTGCATGAGAGCCCAGCTCAGGTCGCTGAGGGGCAGGGGCTGGAATCCAGGCCCCCAGCCAGGGAGCAGCACAGCGCAGCAGAACCCTACCCAGGCCCCACAGTCTCCCAGAACCATGACCTTCAGCCAAACCACCCTGCGGGGGAGGGAGTGGGGGGGCGGGGGGTATGGGGGGCCATGGGATGGCCCCTACCCCTGCCCACTCTGCCTTCTCACCTGTTTCAACAGGGGAATTCAGGGCAGCGCCCAGGCCAGGGGCTCAGACGGTAGAGCAAGAGCCACCAGGTCTCACCTTCCTCTAAGGGCCCAGGACCGGCAGGACTCCTGCCCGCAGCCTGCACTCTGGCCGGTCCTCAGACTGGACAGGGACAGAGGACAGGCAGACGCTGTCAGCTGGAGAAGACTGAGCCCGCCCCCACCCTGCCCCCACCACTGGCCAGGCAGCCCAGCCCAGCTTCAAAATAGCCTGGCTGTCACTGCCCCTATTGAGTTTCACCCCAGGCCCTAGATAGGCAAAGCGCAGAGGCTCGGGGTAGCTGGCGGAAGGAGGAGACCCTGTCTTTCAGCAATGATGATGATGCGGGTGGGGCAGGGCCCCAGCTGGTTGGGACCCCTCCTCAGACCAGCATCTTGGAGAGCAGGCTGGGAAGAAGCCCAGGAGCACAGAGACCACCTCCAAGGGGACCCAGGATCATGCCCAGGGGACCTGGGACCATCCAGGAGGAACAACTGGCTGAGCTGACACTGGTCACATTGGGTGACTGGTCTGTGCTCAGAACTGTGGCTTCCACACCAGTGCAGAGGGCACAGAGGGAGTGCGAGGATGGCAGGACCCGGGCTGGGTGCTGAGCTAGGACACACACCCTAGTGCTGGATCTGGGGCAGGGGTGAGGTGGGGGTGCAGATCAGTACCACCCATGGTGGGGGTCAACCCATGGACACCCCTGCAGAAAGGGCCCTGGGTCAAGCGGAGTGCAGTGGCTGTCTGAGTGTGCTGCCTTGGCTCTGCCCACAGATGAGTCTCTCACCTGGGCCCCTGGGGGCAGGGGCTGGCCCCTTCCCAGGAGAGGCCCCAGGACTCCCACCAGGTGCCCCCCCTCTGAATCCAGGGCAACCGGGCACCCTGACCACATTTGTCCCTGGGCTGGGGCGACAGAGACAGGGACGGGGGAGCCCTCCTAAGGCCGCCCACATCAACTGCCCCTGCCCTCACCCTGCCTGCCCAGCCCCAGGGCAGGCCCCCTGCACTCCACCTGACCCAAGGCCTCTCCTTGGTCCCCCTGGGAAATGGCTCCAAGGGCTCGGTCATCTCAAGTCACCATAACAAACCCCACAGACTGAGGGCTTAAACACCATTTATTGCTCACAGTTCCTAAGGCTGCAAGTCCGAAATGAAGGCCCTGGCAAATCAGTTCTGCTGAGGGCCCCTTCCTGGGACACAACGATGCCTTCTCACTGTGTCCTTACGTGGTGGAGAGAGAGCTCTGGCTCTTCCTCTTCTTAGAAGGACACTAATCCCATCCTGGGAGCCCACCCTCAGGACCTCATCTGACCTCCTCACCTCCTTCCACATTACATTGTGGAGCAGAGCTTTCACCATGGAAACCTGAGGGGACACATTCGGTCCACAGCACCCCAGGAGAAAGGAAAACCCGAGGAGGGCTCAGCCCCACAACATGGCCCTAGGGACCCACAGCTGGTGCACATGCGTGCACGCTCACGCTGCATAGCTCCTGGGACATGACCATGGAAGCAGTGGGGCTCAGAGGAGGTGCACATACCTGCTCTTTACCCTCTTTTCAGAGAACTACAAGCCCAGTGCAGTGAGGTGTGCTCAGTTGGTGGAGCGCTGTCCCATGCAACAAAAGTCGCTGATTCATTCCCGGTCAGGGCACCTACCCAGGTTATAGGTTCAACCCAGGGTGCATATGGGCAGCAATCAATTGATGTTTCTCTCTCTCTCTCTCCCTAACCTCCCTCCCTCCCACTCTCTAAAAATCAATGGAAAAAATACCCTCACTCCTCCAGTGAGGATTTAAAAAAAGAAAAAGCTGAGTGCAGTGGTGTGAAACCCAAAGAGGTTTCAGGAGGCCGGCCCCTGCTGTGTTCTGAATGCGCCCCCGCCCCACCTGCTGTCTATGATTCTCCTTCTGTGTATATCCTCATAGCACGTCTGTTGAAGAGACCAGGAGGTGAGTCCTACAGTCTCCAGAGGCTGCTTTGCCACCACGCCCATGGCATCCTTCCTGCTGGGGAGGCTACAGGGATCCGATTCAGGGCACAATCCTTCATCCTCCCGACCCTTCCCTGGATCCTCTACAAAGAGATGTCACCTACCACCTGTCGGCCCACCCCCGGGGCCAGGGGCCTTGGGAAAACTCAGGGAATCATCACTTCAGATATCACTGTCCCAAGAGGCCCTGCCCACACCCTTCTCCTCTGTCCTCCCCTGTCCTGTGTCCTTTATAGTTCACCCTCTTTTTCTCTTCTTTCTCTGGGTTACTTGTCTCAGGACAGGCTGTGTCTTCAGTCCCAGGATGGGAGGCTCAGCATCCCTGGACCACTATGCCCTTAAGCTCTGCCCAGCTCTTTTACTTGGGACAAATCCCAGGTCACCAGCTGCAACCCATGGCCCTGCACATCTCTGGCGGTCACAGAAGGTCCACTCTCCTTGTTCCATTCCTGCAGCAGACCCTGCACACCTGGCCAACATGGTGTCACCAATGATCCATGTACCAGCTGCAGGCATGGAAACTGTGACGTCACCTCACGGGTCTTGGCAGTAAGAGTAGATTCCCATCACCCACCAGGTCCCTTGAGGCTTTAAATGGTGTGTCTGTCTGGGGAGACTCCAGCTTTGAGGGTCCCCGGTCCGTGACTACCTTCCCTACCCACCCTGGCCCTTGGACCAACACTCCCATCATCAGGGATAAAAAAACAAGTGGGTGGTAGAGTGTCCCTCTTGTCATCATACACAGTCCTCATAAAGATACTGCTGCATATTCTGGGAAAAGAGCATTTAATTCCCTTGTAATGTTTTGAAAGGAGGATGTTTATGGTGTGTGACTCTGGTGAAGCCAGTGCATGTCCCGCTTGGAAAACAAACACGTAGGAATGCTTCCCAGGGTTTCAGGTCAGGGTCTCACTAGGTCCCCCAACCCAGGGTTTCTCCTTTCACAGCAGCATGACCCGAGGTGCAGAGTGGCTGCAATGATTTGCTCAAGTTTACACAGCGACAGGGCTCCACCGGGTTCCTCCTGAATGTAGGTGGCAAACAGATGGCGGCCAGGGCGATGGAGCAACCCGGCATTACCACAGCCTGCATGATGTCCTGGAACAAAAAGGGCACATCGGTGGCTAAACAAGTGAAATCTACATAAAGTCTGGAGCTTAGTTTTGACAAAATGTAAGGGTTAGAATTCTGGGAAGGCGCAAAAGCAAATAGTTTGAAGACAGCAACCAGATGAGCACCCAGCTCATAGGTGGACAGAGGGTTTTTAATCACACTACTGCTTTTGATGGAGAAACTTTGGAAAGAACCTAAATGCCCATCAATATTAAAGTGAAGAAATAACAGCATCACTGGGCAATGAGTGCTACATACCATTTAAAATAAACTGAATTGTATCCACAAAGTTAACTCTAAAAACCATGTCAGTAAATAAAGTGATCAAATGAAAATGAAAGAACCCAAATGGTGTCCAGCTCTCCCACACCCTGTGCCCCTACCCCCTTCCCTCTGCTAAATCCAAAGCCAGAAGCTAGGGTGAGGGGAGGAAAGGCGGTGGGAGGGAGGGCTGGGAGAGAAGAAGAATGTGCCAGAAAGACCAGGAAGGAGGCGTGGCCTGCATGACAGCCTGGGTGAGGAGGCGGGGCTGCAGAAGGCCTGGTGTAGCCTTCAGGACCCCCTGCTCAGCAGTGAAGGCCACAGAAGCAGCTCCAGAACATACCCAGCATGGCAGGACTGGAAGGGGCCCATAGCCAGGTGGTGAAGACCCAGGAGGAAGGGAAGGACCAAGGGATGCCCTGGGCTGATTGCTGGCTGCCAGCTACTCAGGCAGGAGAGGCTGCCAGCCTGGCCTGGCCTCACCAACCAGGCTCAGTGGGGGCACTGGGAAGGGGAGCTGGCTCTGGGCATGCTAGGCTGTACAGGCTTCTGGGAGAAGGATTCATGGGCCCCTCCTGGGTGCAGAGAGGGGGCCCCATTGGGTACCTGGGGTACAGAGAGAGCTGGCAGCTGGACAGACAAGGCCAGGGCCCAGGGCACATACATCCAGAGGAGGGGACATAAGAGGGGGTTACAAGCACTGCACTTGTCTCTCTGTCTGCATGATGGGCCATCTGCTTTTGGGTCTCAGTGTGTGCCCATGCTGGGGCGGGCATAGTCCTGGCCCACCTTGCTCCCCACAGCATGGATCTGTGGATTATTCCTGGACAAGAGACATGCATCTCCAGGCTGAGTCCTGGGTCCCCGCCAGGACTGCAGAAGCCGCAAGACAAGAGGCTGCCTTCTCCAGTCCATGGACCCCAACTCCCCAGGTGGGTCTTATCCTGATCTCACTGAAGGGTGGCTGGAAAGCCCAGGTAGAACTGATAAGTGCTACTGAAAGGAGGTTGTTGCAAAATTGCCCCACATGCCAGAAATGGTAAGGCCCAAACTTGGTTCAAGACAATGCCACACAAGAGACTGCAGTTACTGGATTACAAAGCACTGATTTCTTCCCAACAGCCACAAAAGGCTGTCTTGGTGATGGCTGTCCTCCCAAGATGTTAGGAAAAAGAACAGCAGAGAAAAAATGAAATAGAGCCATGCTGTGATGTCATTTCATGTGCACTGCTCAGAGCACTGGTGGAGAGCCCTCAGGTCATCAGGGAGTAGACACTGCCTAGGCCGGGGGCAGCCTACAGCCCACCCCAGCCCACGTGCCAAGGACAGAGCCACAGAGGACTGAGAGAAACATCCAGAAAACTCCGGGTGAACTGCTAATTATAGTTATCATTAGAAGTGGGGGGTGTTTTACCTTGACATACTTGTATATTATTTGAATTTTGAATACCAAGCACATATTTCTTTGCAAGAAGAAGTGTAAGACAAAAATGAGTTCCAAGAGAACCAAGTGGCTGAGGGAGCTACAAGGGGTGCAGGTCTCCCATCTGCCCCTGACTGACGTCCCCCCAATGGTGACCTCAGGGTGGAGCAGAGTGGACAGTCCACCTGAGAGCCAGAGGCCACCCATCCTGGGGAGGGGGACACTGCAAATCTAGAGAAAGGCTTCTGTGTCCCAGTGCGAAGTGAGGTTTCACACAAATATCGCCCTTCAAAGGAACCCTTTTCCAGTAATATTTCAGAA